CCCCCCCCTCCCCTCTTCAAGTCTACAATTCTTATTGACTATTTAAGATAAGCAAATTCTCTATTCCTTTGCATATTTGTATTTATGTGATAAATGAAGATATATCAAATTTTTGGTGTAATGCTTTTTAAGTGTTGTGGTGGTGAAGACAGTATTTGTTTCTCTTCAAATATTTTGTCCTATTTAGGTTTATTTTTTATTGAGAAATTTTTGTCAATTTATTAATTATTATAACTTATGATTATATGGTTATCATAAAATAAATTATATGTATCATAAAAGTTATCTTGTCTAAGCGCAGTTGTATTTAAAATATAATGACAAATAGAATATTTTGTGTTTGAATCGATCTAAAATCTAAAATTTTGAAGAAATCACGCCCTTATAAGCATAAACAGTTCTAAGGTTATTTAAGTCATTTTAACAAAAAAAGAGCTTATCAGCATTTTTTTTATCAAATAATGCAGCAACTTATTATTAATTTTAGCACTTATATCCAAACACGTAACTGCTTACTAATTAAATCAGTTTCAACACTTAAAAGTGCTTTTCAGCACCTAATGCTTATAAGCTACTTCAAATCAGCTAATCCAAACGGGCTCTAAATAGTTTTATTTTTGTGAGTAACTGTGTCAAAACTCCTCTATCTAAAGGATTTGAAGGAGAAAATATAGTTGTTTCGTCTTTTCTATTCCAAATCACTCCTATAAATGCTCTCTGCATTACATGCTTTTGGTGAAAAATTGTACTCGTGGTTTTTGAAGATAAAGTAAAATTGTACTTGTACTGTTTGGCCATCATTGTTCCTTCTTTAGATATGTAATACTGTTTCTATTTATTAATTCTTGCATCAATTAATTTAGAACACAGCGTTCTGTGTTTTAGTTAGGAGTGTACAAATTGAACCGGAAAATCGTACCAAACAGAAAAATCAAACCAAACCAATTAAAAAATCCGACTAGCTGATTTGATTTGGTTTGATATTGAGTAAAAAAAAAACGGACCAAACCGACATATAAATATATTATTTTTATATATATTTAAGATAAGATTTTATATAAAATTTTCTTTAAAAAATATCTAGAAATATTTGAGATTCTCTTACAGGATATAATATTTAACGGAATATGAAGTGTTCCATATTTATTAACCTTAAATAATGGGTTGTATGATCATTTTCTTATCAAATGTTACTGAAATGCGTCAATCTCTTTGTTTTTCCATATATTCATATGTCAAGATGAATTAAATTCTTATATCTTTTTCGAATTTGAAGTGATTATTATTATTTAGGTATCATATTGATTTTTATGTTTAATTTTTAGCCTCCCGGGGTAGGGATATGGTGTGCGTACACTCTACATTTTCTAGACCCCACTAGTGGGATTCTACTGGGTTGTTGTGTATATCAACAAAAAATTATTGTCAGACGACTAAAAAAATAACTACCATGTGTTACTAAATTCTCCCATAAGAATATTTTAATAGATAATATGTTTGTCAATTTTTAAATTTTTACTAAATATATATTTACTTATAAAAAAATTAACAAAGTAAGATTAAAGTAATATTTAAGTAACAAAAAACTCAAAAAAATCCAATAAAACTGAACCAATCCAAATCGATATAGTTGGTTTAGTTCGGTTTTGATAAAAACCGAACCAACCCGGTCCATATACATACCTAGTTTTCATACATGATATTAGCAGCAATTTGCATCTATACAATTTTGCCATCATGTTTCTGCCTTTATGTTAAGCTCTAGTGCAACAATTAGTCATTGTAGTTTTCATTATGACAAAATAGAACACTCAATTTACAAAGAAAGACTTTTCCTATTAAATATACAGAAGATATGGGTTATGAGAGATTGTCTCAGTTAAAACATGTGACTACTCAACAAAGGTCTGAATGCCAAGGTCCATAGCCTTAGCCCTTAGGAAAGCCACTTGTTGCCTCGCCTTCTTGTAGATGTTCAATGGGAGTGTCCCTCGCTGACCTTCTTTGTGTCAAAAAAGGTAATGTGGGAACAATGAGAGTTAGCCTACCTTGTCGTACAAAATAATACACGGAACTCATGTTCGTAAGTGTGTAGTGATTTTCGTATATATGCTATTTGTTAAACTAAATATGCACACTCCAGATCCTCACAAAGGGTAAGGTCTGCGTACACACTACCCTCCCCAAACCCCATGGTGTGGGATAATACTGGGTATGTTGATAGCACATTTTCACGCTCCATCACTTTCTCATCCCCTCACCCATTGCTTAAGAACTTCTCCCTACTGCACTGAGCTAGGGAGGCGGAGAGTAGGGGTACCCTAGAAAGAAACAAAGAACGACACTAGTCTGAGATGATGACTTGATATTCTAAACTAAAATGTAAAGGAGGTAGATCTAAGGTAAAAACTTATACTAATAACCAAGGATAACAAATATTTTTTACAAACAAATATTCAATAAATGACTGACCTGATATTCGGAAGAAGAAAACACTTCCGCACTTCCAGAAAGATCTTCAAATACTTCCCTTCAAACCAAAACACATCAACTTGGAGAAATTAAGAGCAGAAGCAACATTGGATAAAGAAATGAATAAATCAGTAACCAAATGATACCTGTTTTATAAGGAAAGAAAAAATAATCAAATTATACCTTGTATATCCACCAATATGAACTTTTCCATTGCAAAACTCCAAGATGAGTACAATTTGCTTCTCAGAAGACCACAAATGGAAAAGCCATATATATATGTAAGGTACTGCCTTAAAAAATCCCTAGCAAGCTACTTTAAGAGGTTAAACACCCTGCTATAGTGTTGTTATAGGGAGTTGGAAATTCCAGGGACAGAGATGACACATAAAGTGAAACTTTACAGCAATATGATAATACTATCAACTACTTATATGATCAGGCAACCAGGCATCTAAAATAGCCCCATGAAATTGACACCATTCTGAGTTTTCAAATGTCTTGCCTCGGCCTGCTACCTTTTTGGAGTCAATAAACTGTAAACTTTTATAAAATGCCAAAGGTTCTTCCATCACACTCCACGATGTTATATTTAAATCAAAACCTAAATAAGGAATTTAAGACAACAGTTCAGGTCATGTAAAAGAAACTCACACACATTCTTCAAACAAACCCGTATTTGATGGGGTGTAAAAAATATTAATAGATAGGATTAAATGAGGGCTTCCTGGAGCCAGCTACATAAAGGATCCTGCAGCTAGCTTATCACTAATGGATGGTATGCCAGAGATATACTGTCTTTAAGAGAGAAGAGCAAACTAAAATTCCAATGGATTTACAGGACTGAGATCCCTTTTCGAAACATAGAACTAGAAGCCCATCAACTAGAATGACAAAGAGGACGGCTAGCTTTAAGTCCAGGAACCAGGATTAGCCGACATACAGATGCTAGCTTTGAAATCCATACAATAGGATTAGCCAACATAGAAATGCTATATTTGAAATCCATGCAAGAACATTAGCTAATATTGAGAGAAGCATTAAATAAGCAGTTTGTACCATTAATATAGCAGGAAACACATGATTTTGAAGTGGTGTTCCTTCTGCCCTAAAAAAATAAAGAAAAGAAAAATTCGATGAGCACACTAGTTCCTCAATGATAGAGCTATGTTTGATTAGTGTGTTAGAACATCAGCAGATAAAACTAATGAGGGCTTCCTTGAACCAGCTCTGAGGAGGACCCTGCAACAAGCATATCATTTTTAGACGGTAAGCAAGACATATACAGTTATTAAGAGAAAGGTCAAACTAAAACCCAAGAGATTTACAGGATTGATCTCTTTTCAAAATATACAACCAGAATCCATCAACCAAGTTTACAAGGATAACTGCAAGCTCTAGAATACATGCAAGAGCATTAGCCAACATTGGGCAAAGCAGTAATTTGCAGTTTGTACAGCTAATATCATAAAAAGACCTGATTCTGAGGTGGTTTTCCTTCTTCCCTAAGAAATGTAAACTTTGATGCACACTCCCTGATACAGCTAAGCTTTCGCAACAGCAATAGCCTAAACATTTTCAGCAAGCATTTCCTTTCGCTTCAACTCCAATGCCATACATTCATTCTCAAGTTTAATCCTCTCATTTTCCATTCTCATCATTTCCAATTCGATGTCCTTTTTCCTGCTAAATCTTTTCCAATTGAAACGCTCTTTCTCCAATTCCAACATTTGCGCCTGAATTTGTAGCTTCTGTTCTTCTAGCTGAAACGAACGATGATCCATCCACTGCTTCTGCAGAATATCAGCTTTGTTGCATTCGGAAAACATTTGATTGGCATCAGTGTTTGCCTTCTGAGGTTGAGAAATGAAAGTCCTATTACCATCGACAGTAGTCAAGAAATTACCAAAAGTAACAATTTCATGACCCTGGCATTGTTTTATCCTCTTTGAAAAACCTCCTGACATCCCATGTAACCTGTGCTCCCTAGGCAAGCTATGATTCTCTTCATACTCATCTTGGTCCTCCACCAAGTGAGTTTCGTGATCATCATCATCATTGTCATCTTGCAGGTGCTTCCTAACATCATTGTCATCATGCTCATCTCTACTTGTAAGAGCCAAACGTAATGAACGCTGCAGTTCAAGGTCTGGGGGCAGATGTAAGCGGTTCCCATTATGGTAGGAACACATCTCTTCATAATGCAGATGTTTTGAACTTAAGATTTTCCTAACTTCCTCCTTTCCTTTCTCTGATACGTGATCCAGCACATCCAAAAGAGCAGGATTCTCAACTACCTCACAGGAAGTTCCTCTGCCAAGGATCTCATTGAGTCTTTTATACCTCTTGTTTAGGTCATTGAATTTATCCTCGCACTGTTGAGGTGAAACAAAATGACCCCTTTCAGCCATGACTTTTGACACTGACTTCCATTTCCCTTTCTTATGCAAATTAGAGCATTTTCTTCTTCCACCATACTCTGCAGCAGTCTCTTCGCCTATGTAAGAAACAGCAGTTATCAACAGCCTCACCATCTGATCGGTCCATTTCACACGCTGCCATGGGGTAGCCTTTTTCCCCCTATTCAGGTCATTGAGACCATCAGCAGCATCTTCAGTAAAACTTGGTTCATCTTCATCACTTGCAGACTTACCCTGATCAGCCAAAGAAATATTCTGGTTACAATCCTGCTGCATACTACCTATAGTGAGGGGGAAATTTGCATTAATTGCCCCTTGTTTCGAATGAGACTGATAATGTTGAAGCTGTTGATGATTAGCCCTCATGGAGCCTTGCAAATCAAAACAACTATTCCCTGGCATCATATTTCCTGATCATAAATTAATTGCTTTCCATTACTTAAAAGTAACAATTAAATACAAAATTCAGAACTGGAATTAACATAGAAAACCCTTTCCTCAAAAACCCTTCAAGACAAACAAAAGCACCAAATCATGAACGATATCACCTATGCAAACTAACACCTTCACAACCAGGCAAAAAGAAAAGAGATCCAAAACTGAAGAATGAAGATCTGTTCTCACTTTCAGATAAATTCTAATTTTCTTCCACAAATAAAGAACTGGTAATTTTTAAAAGTGAACAACTTACACAATGCTGACGATCTGTTGAGCCCTATTACAACTTCCACCACTTCAAACCAAATTCAAAGCCTTTTTCACTACTGCGAGAAAAGACAAGAAAGGTACACTTGTAGGGAGTTTTTTACATATTAAAGACATAACAGCCTATTCCGGGTTTACTAGATTCAACGTATCGAGGATCTACGGGCCCCCTTTCGCCATATTTTCCGTGACACACACACGTAGCTGAATAAGCACCTCCGCCAGATAGGTATAGGTTTTTTTTTTTTTTTTCCTTTTTTATTTAAAAAAAAAAAAGTTAAAGAGCTAATGCCGGCGAACTAAAGAATAACATCCTCATGCCTAGGGGTGGACATTGAGCACTTTGGATCGAATATAAAAATTTTGATTTGAATTTTCATTTTTTTGGATTGAAAAAATGACCATTCAAATTTAATTCAAATAAGCTCGTATAACAATCCGACCGATCATTTTGAGTTGTAGCATTTCGTTTCGTGATTTGCGACTTTGAGCAGCCTCATCTTCCGTGCATGGTTGATTTTGATTTTCGAGTGGTTCAGGATGAATTTGATAGAGTGATTTTCAATTTGGAAGCTTTAAATTGGAAGAATTGACCAAGGATTGACTTTTGAGTAAATACCCTCAGCTTGGTAATTTGATGAATCCTTCGTATGGTGATTTTGAACTTGGGCGTATGTTAGGATTTGAATTTGAATGTTTCTAGAAAGTTTTGGCTTTATTTGTCGAAAGTTGCCAATTAGAAAAATGAGAGAGTTCATAGGTTTGACCGGGAGTTGAATTTGGTGTTATCAAACTCCTATTGTGGTTTTGAGACATTTATTAGGTTCATTTAGTTAATTGGAACTTGTGTGCAAAGTTTGGTTGTAATCCGAAATATGTAAGTGTGTTTCGGATGCGTTCGACAAATTTGCAGGTTTAAAAGTTAAAAGAATGATTTTGATCTTCGATTATTGATTTTGATGTTATTTATAATGTTTTGAGCCTTTGGATAAGTTTGGATGATGTATTTGGACTTGTTGGTATGATCGAATAGGGTCCTGTGGGGCCTTAATTGTGATTTGGGGTGGTTTCGGACCATTTTGGTGATGGTTGGAGTTGCTGTTTTTTAGCAGATGTTAGTGTGCTTCGCGTTCATGGTCAAAGCGATGTGTTTGCGAAGTCTATGTTTGGTGCTAGGTTTGTTGATCTTTGCGCTCGCGAGTAAGTGTTTCACATCCACATAATGCTGGTTCTAGGTATATCACGTTCGCAAGGAGTTAAAGCAGGCAGGGGAAATTTTTGCCTTCAAGTTCGCGAAAGTGGGGGGATTGTTAGTTATTGCGATCATGACATTGATGCCACGATCGTGAAGTGAATTTGTTTAGTAGCTTTGGTTTGTGCTTTGCGAACGCAAAGTAGAGGTCCGTTCGCGAAGGGTACTGCTGAGTAGTGTATTTAGGATGTTATTTCGGGATTTTGAATCATTTCTCTCACATTTTGAGCTCTAGACTTGGAGAGAGGTGATTTTTCTTGGAGATTTTCATACAAGACTTTGGGGTAAGTAATTTCTACTCTTTTTTTTGTATTATTTCAAGAATCTATATGATTTATTAACACCCACAATATAAAATTTTGAGATAGAATTTGGGGTTTGACTACACTTTAAGTGAGTGTATTTTGGGGATTTGAGAATCGATGTGGACTCAATTTTGGATCTAATCGTATATTTGGACTCGACGGATTATGGTCATCGAAGCTTTATGGAGTGAGATTGCTTTATGGAATTCTTAAAAAATCGAAGCTTTATGGATTGAGATTGCTTTCTATAGCATTGTTCGTCTTCCTTGGTTGATGATTGGCTTGGATTTATGTGATTGGAGGACTAGAGCGAGATTTCTACGCAATTTGTGGTTGAAGGCTAGCTGGACAAGTGTTACACCCCATGTTTTTCGTACGTGAAAGTACGCCATAAGTAAATTGATGAAAGCTCGGAAAATGAGATGTTACATCCCGTATTTTCATACGTTAAAGTTTCGTCGTAAATTAATCGACATAAGTTTGGGAATGAGATTATTTTGATATTATAAGCATTATACTAATTTAAACAAGTGCTGAGTAAATTCGTGAAGGTGAGAGGATAAGCAAATCGAAGAAAATAAATTTTGTCAAAGTTTGACATTTTGGGACATAATACGATCTGAGCTATAATACCCGGCATTTATGAACTTGGGCTCTACAAGGTACCACATGACCATGATAGTAAGATGTATAATGTATGTTAAAAGTGAGTAGTATTTTGAATAATTTGACATAATTCTTAAATTCTGTGGGTAATTGGTTAATGGTTGGATTAGTGAAAAATTACCTAAGTAATTAAGAAATTGGTAATTAACTAAGACATTTGGATAAAATTCTTGAAGCCCAAACGTGGTAGCAAACCTTGCCAATTGATGACTCTTAAAGTCACTTGATAAGGTGTCATTTTGAAGGCTTAGTCATCACCTTAGTGGGGCCCACACCCACTAAGGTATAAGATCTCTAATTCATTTAAGAGAGATTTATACAAATTTGCAAGGTAACGTGATTAGCTCAAATTTGCAATGGCAACGTGAGGCTTCTCTAAAATTACAAATTAAAGATGGTCATATTCAGTAAGGTAATGGTATTAAGCAAAATTTCATACGAAATTATACTGCGTAATAGCAACGGAATTTTGCAATTCTAAGGGAGTGTGGTGCAATCCTTCTCAATTCTCCTACTTCGATCCGCCGTTACGTGTTATCGCAATTGACTTGTGTTAGAGGGATTGTCAAGAGAATCGGCTCAGGTATGTTAAAGTTATCCCTTCTTTCCTTTTGGTATGATCCATAAGATACAAACAAAACGAGTAAATGTACAACTTCCATAAATGATTTTTTTCATAAAAATGCTAGAGATGCTCATGTTCTTGATTTCGTCCTATTATTGNGATTTGCCCACAGTGGCCGAGATGATATGATGGGATGCCCTCAGAGGATTGATGATGTTATGAACGCATATACACATGCATGGCATGACATTATAAGTATTAAATGATTCACAGAGCTATTCAGACTTACATGCCGAGTCTTTTACTTCATGTTTCTCTCATGTCTATTTTTTACTGATTTTTATTCCTTACATACTCGGTATATTATTTGTACTGACGTTCCTTTTGCTTGGGGACGCTGTGTTTCATGCTCGCAGGTCCCGATAGACAGGTCGAGAGTACTCCAAGTAGGCTATAGCTCAGCGGAAGATGTTGGTGCGCTCCATTTGCTTCGGAGTTGCTTGTTTGGTCAGTATGATTTAGACGCGTATTGTTTGGTATGTCGAGGCCCTGTCTCGACCTTTATTATAAGTATGTACTCTTAGAGGCTTGTAGACAGATGTCATATATACAGATACTTGTATGGCCTTGTCGGCCTCTATTTTAAGTATATAATGGATCACATTGGCCTTATAAGCCCGTATGTCACAAGTACGATTTTCTATATCAGGTTGGGTCGTTCTATGTCAGGTATTCCCTCATGTTTACTCTGGTTATCTCATGACGCCCCTTCTGGCCCACTTACCTATGATGATGTAATAAGAAAGATATGTTACGTTGGTACTCGGTTGAGTAAGATATCGGGTGCCCATCGCGGTCCATCGGTTTGGGTCGTGACAGAAGTGGTATCAGAGTAGTTCTTTCCTAAGGAGTCCACAAGCCGTGTCTAGTAGAGTCTTGTTTATGGATGTGTTGTGCACCATGTTATTAGGCTATATAGATGATATTTACATCCTAAATATACCATACTTTATTATTGTTTTGAATGCTAAATGATAACAAAATGCTCTAATTGGTGTTTTTTTGCTTCGCAAGGACTAATCCAAGTTAGGAAGAACTATGGAGTGTTTTGGAGTCAATAATGTGAAGAAAACGTCCAATCAAGAAGCACCCGAGCAGAACGAAGCAAAAAGTGGACTGGGTTGGAATCCACCGCGAACGCAGTGGACCGCGGCAGGCCAAAGACGCGAGGCAGAATGTTTGTCTCTCACCGCGGTCGCGCCGCATTCTGCCGCGGCCGTGGTGATTTGTGCAGTTACCTAGAACTTTTGGGACCAAAGTGTAACTCAGGAAAAACTTATTCCAAACCCTTATAAACTCAAGAAGCTCGCCCAAGAAAGAAAAAAGCTTGTTTTTAAACTACTTTGGAGGCAAGAACAAGTGTGAGAAGAGTAACCAAACATTAGAGTTTTTCTATCTTCTCTTTATTATTGCAATTACACATTATGAACAATTTATTAGTTTTATCTTGTTTTGTTATGAGTAGCTAATTCCTTAGTCTAGGGTTTTGATGGAACCTATTGAATGATGAACTTCTCGTTATGTTAATATAGTTTGCCAGCTTAATCTCTATTTGTTCAACTACATTCTTGTTGTAGTTTATTGATAGGATCCTCAATTAGTTGTGCCTATTTAGTGTGCATAACTTGGGAGAGAGTGCATATTTAGGTAATTGTTGAACAACACCACTCCCAAAGTATATGAGGGATAAATAACCGAGGGTTTAAAGGCGGGATTAGGGATAACGAAGCCTTGGGTGCAATCTAAAGTGAGCTGTAATAAACAAAGCCAGCTAGCGTAACTCAGGAGAGTGTATCTAGCAAAGTATCATGATTACTCGGGAGAGATTTACGATAATAAGAGTGATCGTGATTGATAGAGACGATTAGGTGAATCTATGTGAAACATAATCGTAAGGGATTCCATCAATAGGGGAAATCATAACCTTAGATCCTTCTCTTAATTGTTTACAACTTAATCATAGTTAGTCTTTATTTGCTTATTTATAGTCAGTCTTAGTTAGTATAAACATCCTCAATGTTATTCACAACGTATGGGAAGTTGATTACGTAGAATTTCGTAAGTCTAACGAGAGTAATTGATAGGTTAATTCCTTGTGAGTTCGACTCTGGGCGAAATACTCTAGATTATATTTGCAACATTCCGCGTATCCTTTTCATAAGGCATAGTTGGGCATGATCAAATTTTGGCGCCGTTGCCGGGGATTAACGGTGTTATCAATTACAATTGAAAGAAATACAAAAATTCTTAGTGTAGTAAGTTTTCTCTATACCCAGTTTATACATTGAAATTTTAATGTTTGTTGACTTTGTTGTATAGGTACATGCCTAGAAACTCACCGAGAACTAGTGAA